AGCAGCCCACGGTCCATTTCTTTGGCCCAAAACAGATTGTTTAAAATGATAAATATATTCCAGCACATCACGTTCTCTATCGTATCGGCGAAGAGTAATCTAATATTTTATCTCAACCTCTGACGTAAAAAGTTTTTCTGCTTCGCCAAATTTTATTCCTCCACTGTTTTAGACTGCTAAAACTGTACATGTTTATAAACATACAAATGTAACAACAAGAGAGATTAATTTACATGAACATCAAGCTATCTAGTCAAACTGGAAAACAACAAAATAATAAACGGGTAACGAATACAGATATATATATATATATGTGTTACATGTTTCTCTTCTTTCTCACCAGAAGTAAAACTGAAAGGAGAATCTGTGACGTAGAGGCCTAATGCGTTCTTTGATTGGCCATAGCCTCTACTGTGGACTTCAGATTCACCTACTGAATGCTCATCAGCACAGCTTGGGTCAGCAAACCAAAGATATACAGTTAGGCCTTTTATAATGGTGAAGTGTATGTAATATTTATGGGTTTTTTTTTAATGTCTTTTTCAATAAACAATAAAGTAACCTAAAATAAATTAGCTGTGCTGATGAACCTTGAATAGGCGAAACTGAAGTCCACAGCAGAGGGTACCATTAGGTTATATTGTTTATATTCTTCATACATAAGTAAGGTTCTCTAGTAAGTTATGCTTTCCACTGTTGATAATGTTGGTAGGAATGTTTAATATTATTAACCGTAATTAATTTTTGTACTTTTATTATAAAGATGATTTCGCACTCTTGGCTTAATATGTGGATTTATGACTAATGTAAATATCTTAAACTGACCAAACTTCGTAAAACTTAATTGGTATTACGGCCGAAAATGTTGTCAACAACAAGACTATTCAACTGAAGAAATAGTGTACCAATATTTATGGGTTTTTTAGGTCATTTTCAGTCATTAATAAAGTAACATAAAAAATTTAGATGTGTCAGTAATGTTACGACTTGTGACTAAATCATTATTGCATATTGTATTGGACCAACTATTTAATAATTATATATGTGCGTGTGTGTGTGTGTGCGGGGGGGGGGGTATTACACATTTCTTTTCCTTCCCACCAAAGGTAAAACTGAAAGGATAATCTGTGACGTAGAGGCCTAATGCATTTTTTGATTGGCTACAGCGGAAGTCACGCGACGCTGCAAGCATGCGCGCTGGAGTTTCTAGAAGGATCATGACTTTTCCTGGCAACTCTAGTCTGTTCTAGGCGCCCTCTTTTTTTTTTAGTATATAAGCCCGGCAAATAAAGCGGAGATGTAATGGCAGATAGATAGATAGATATATAGACAGATAATTGAGTCAAGCGAGCGATAGTGACGGTAATATGTTTTGTTATCGAGATTGCACACGTATTGACAGTGGAAATTCTGTGTATTGCAAAGTTGTATCGAGAAAAAATAAACTAGTTTTAATTAAGAAAGGACTTGTATAGCTGAAGTTTCTCGGAAAGAATTTCTACGGGAAATTAACAAACAAGAAGATACGCAACACTAACAATGCAAAAAAATCTTAACAATAAAAACACACTGTTAATGTAAGCAAACCTAAAGCAATAATACAGTAAACTTAAAGTGCAGTTCCTGTAAACAATGATTTTCTGCATCACGTACTTTTGCAGATTTGGTCTGACTGTTCATTCCAGTAATATAACTTATACACAATAATTATTTTTATGCTATTTTTAAACATTCAGTCACTTTGAACCTTATGTTAAACGACTAACAATACACTTTACTAACTGCATCGTTCAGTTATAACTGAAACTTTTAAACAAATAATATATTAACGGTTGAACTTAAAACAACTTGTAATACTCACTTTCGTTTCAAATTCTTTTTGCTTTGTTTTTCTTGAAAACTGAGATACATTGACCCATGTCACTGACCAGCTAGAGGGTCGGGCAGTACTACTGTAAAGATAGCACACACAAAGGATAATTATCACAAAGTTATGTAATAATAAATGAATCGTATAATTAATCCTAAAAATACCAATGTCATTAAAATACAACCAATTTAAATGAAATAAATTAAAAAATAGTTAACTCTGGTTACTGTGGAAAGGACGTAAGAACAGTGAAAAATATGGTAATTCAAGTAATTTAATAACAACAAAATACCATAATATATATATATATTTATATATATATATATGAAAGTGTTATATAGCCTGCATTAACTAGTGTTGCGTCAGCGAGGTCACGTGACTAGTGTCACGCCACCTCTCGAACCTTCGGGAATTGTCGGTAGATTACTAGATATAGGGTAGTCTGGTATATATATATATATATATATAT